TGACTACGACAAGAGTGTGCAATGGCGCCAAAAATCACTTGAGATCAAAGAGAAAGCTGCAGAATCTAATAGCACCAAGAAAGGTAAGACACTACCCCCCCTCCCACATAATAGAAGCCCCCGGGGGCTTCTAAACTGTCCAGCGTCCAAAATTTTCGGAGGGGCTTCTATTATGTCCCACGATTTTTCAAAGATTTCAGGTACCAAAGTTTTTCAAAAGCCTTAAGGAAATTTTCAGAGTTTTTACGGGTTTTTCGCAGGGTTTTCAAGGAAATATCGAGATTTTAATACTGACAAGCAAGAATTTAGTACATTTTTACCTTAAAACCTTGTAATTTTTAAAGTTTCACTATGAAAACACAAATAAAAGTTTTCAAAAAACTTCCGAAAAGTTTTTAAAATGAGGAGGCTTCTAATATGTCTGGCAAGTCGACTCCTCCAGGAGGGGCTTCTATTATTGAGGGGGAGGGGGGGAGGGTAGAACGATTTGCAGGCTTCACAAACGATGATCAATCACTATTCAGCAACAGATAAGTATGAAAAGAAATATTTTCCGAAGGGTATGGGTGTTAGCCTTCTATTTTGGCACTACCACCAATACCCAGCTACACTCTTCTCAAATACTTGTCATGATATTCAAAGACCACACAAGTTCTAATTAAAGCAGTTATATTCTTCATCAGTGATCTGGTTTTAGAAGAAATCTCACTTTTGTTTGATGGTATCTAAAAATAAACTATATGACAGATTTGATATTTGGAAAGGAGCTTGCTTGTCTGTCCACTGAGTTTTCTAGGAAATTCTGATAGTTTTGATTCTTTTTTAAAGAAATTTCAATTGCCTTGCGAAACGAATGACATTCATAACTAGGTATAGGTGTGAATGTATGCGTAGCTGCGTTCCTCTTTCGTACTGACATTCACATTCTCGAATAGCCGTAAGTTCTTTTCTGCTAGGCATTTAATAGAAGACACGTAGCAGATACTCTAACGATGGAAAATACAAAGTCATAAAAGTAGTGCTTTCAGATGAAAGAAAGAAGGGTTTGGCTTTGAAATCATTTCTCCCTATTGGGAACGTTTAAAATAATCGGTTAGGTGGACAGTAATAGATTTCCTCACTACTCTACAATAAAAATTAATGCATGTCAATCTTCTCACTGCGCATCGAGTATCGTACAATTTTAGAGGATTTTAGCCAACAACCATACCCACACATTATTTGGAGAATGATGCTTTGTTAAAAAAAATTTCAAGAGTTGAAACTTTAGTTACACACGAGAGGTTAAAATTTTGTACGATTTTTTAAAGAGAGTATTCAAATGGTAAACCTTACTGGAACTGCTTCTTTTTCATGCAAAATCATATCATAAAGAAATATATTTTTATTCACGATGAGCTCAGATAATGACATCGACAGTTTCTGGTATATGTTTCTATATTTAGATCGATCACATGACTTTATTCAAATAGCCGACGAGGATCTCAAACTACATGAGAAGATTGGTGTCGGAGCCTCTGGAACAGTACACAGAGCCACGTGGATAAGTAGACGTTACACAGTCGCTGTCAAAAAATTGCATTTGACTCATTTGACTGATAGAGCTGAGAAAGAATTTTTCAAAGAACTTTCACTATTGGACGGCATTCGTTCTTCAAACGTCGTCAGTTTTTATGGTGCATGCACGGAAACAGGAAAGTATGCATTGGTTATGGAATACATGTCATTAGGATCATTGTACAAGATATTGCATGAAGATAATCTTGTATTAACTTGGTCTGAACGATTGTCGATTGCGCTTCAAACGGTCAGTGGAATCAATTACTTGCATCAATTATTAGAACCTATCTTACATCGTGACATAAAATCGTTGAAATTTTTGATGGAGAGAGCCTATCAAGGATACACTACCAAAGTGTGTGATTTTGGTTTGGCTAGAACACGAAATGAAACGACGTGTCAAACAACATCAGATTCTACATTGGTCTGCACATTGCAATGGACTGCTCCTGAAATATTGTGTTTGAAATGCTATACAGATAAGAGTGACATCTATAGTTTGGGAATAGTTTTTTGGGAACTCGCTAGCAGCGAAATCCCTTATGATGGTCATGAAAACAGTGTTATTCGTGCATTCGTGCTTGCTGGTGACCGTTTGAAGATACCCGAAAGTACTCCATCGACTTTTCATAGGGTCATCGAAACATGTTGGGCTCAAAGGCCGAATGATCGACCCAACAGTTCGCAACTAATTCAAATGATTGAAGAGTGTATTCAAGTTCACAGTAATTTATTCTTATTCTTGCTCTTTTTTAGAGAACTATGAAGAGTTAAACAAAAGGATGCTAGATTTGAAGGCATTATAAATTAGCTACATAGTTCATATTTGATTGAATGTAAGAGCGAAAATGTCATTTACAATGATTAGATCATTTAAATATATAAAGCTACAGTGCTTCGACAGTGTAAGACACTAGTGTGAGGAACCTACAAGAAACAAATGAGCCACACTGTAATCTAAGTTGAAAAAACACGCAATTAATGAGGGTGTGGGTGTGGGTGTGTGAATGTGGGTGCAAGTGTGAGTGTGTGTATGTGGATCAAGCAAAGACAAACATCCACACTACACCCACACCCACACCTACACCCAAACTCACACCCACACTCACACTCACACTCACACCCACACCCCACACCCATACCCTACACCCACTCACAACAACGCCCACACCCTTCATTAAAGTATATGACCAATCACTATTCAGTTCAATAAAGAATGTCAATCGTGCAGTATGATTTACTACATTTGAAGTAAATCGATTGATAGAGTGCTTCTTCTATTAACCGTATTTTTTTTTCGACAATCTATTACTTCTTTTCCTCCTATTTAGATGTGATTGTAGATGACGATGGAAATCAAATAAGGGGCACCACAATTGATGATTTCCAATCTTCGCCACCTGAGAGTTTAAATAGTTCGAAATTCGGAAAGGAGGTGAACATCTGAGTGAAATTTTTAATATCAGTCGGTGAATCCAACCTTTATCCGATCTATAATTTCTTTACATGTTGTCAACTAAATGCAGCTTATATAGGTTCATGATGCACAGCAACTGAATTACAAATCTTAGAGAATGATCGTTGAATTAGTGAATAGATATACATATCGATCCAAAAGAAGGGCAGCAAACTCGTTTATCACGAAAACGAAAACTTTTTTTTAGAGTTAAGCTGGTAAATTGATTGAGAGCAACGGTGTCCCTCAGAAGCATGTGCATTGCAGAAACTATTCTGTGAGCGATCTTTAAGAACTTATCTAGCTCTTCATGAGACAGGTGAAAACTGAATACCTATTTTGAATAGAATCATTGGATTTCCAGCTTCAAATGCGTCTGTACAGTTTTTTAAGGTTGGTTTGATTATTGAGAAACTTCTTTTTTCTAATTTCAATGACAAGACAATACAAAACTATCAATAATACGTCGATATGTAGCCACATGTTTTTTTTACCATAATTTAGTTTGAGAATAACATAAATAGCATATACGAAATCAACGCAAAAAACTATATAAGGTCATACATATGATTGATTAAAACTATTTTTGACCGTAAATGAACCACTTGTGAATTGCGAACAATTCTTATCAGATGCATTGCTGAGAAGACCACATATGATTTTTTGTTAATATATAGGGTGTCCCGTAAGTCCTTAGACAAAGAAAAATTTGAATATCTTCATTACGGCTCGACCAAACGAGCTCATTCTTTTACCAAGGATAGAGGCATGTTCACACTCCAAATCCATACGGACAAGTGTATTGAGAATCTTTGTTAAGTATATTGTTTTTTCTCTGTCGGTGAAAAACTAAAAATTTTCTTGTTGAGGTCAATAGTGATACTTAACAAAGATTCTCAGTATCCGTGTCCATATGTATTTGGAGTGTAAACATACCTCTATCCTTGGTAAAAAATGAGCGCGCTTGGTCGAGTGGTAATGGAGATATTCAAATTTTCCTAACTCTAATGACTCTCCGGACACCCTGTATGTATCTATCATTTAATCTAGTCTTTTAGCGTTGAACTCCGATATGTGACTGAGTTTGCTCTGACTCTGAACGGTAATGCTGGAAACTGTTATGTGCATCCACATATTTGATAAATTTGCCGACTTTTACTGATGTAACCGGAAGGACTTCAATTTGTTCCACTTTGAAAACATTTCAGAAAAATTCGATATATACTTTTGTGTATCACGATAGACTGATTCTAGAAAAATAAGAATTTAGGTCGTATTTTTTCG